GCCGGCCCCTCGTAGGCGCCCAGGTCCAGCTGCTGGGAGAAGAAGAGGCTGGGCACGAACTGGTGCACCAGCTGGTGGATGGTGCCCTGGTCCTCCTTCTGGATGGCCGGCTGCCGCTTCACGTAGTAGGTGATCAGGGCGGCCGCGTCTTCCAGGATCTGCCGGTCCTCGTAGGCGAAGATGAGGTGAGGCTCGCTGGAGGGGGCACTGCGGCCCTCGGAGTGCTGCTCCTGGTGCTGCAGGGGGTCGGCCGTTAGGAGGGAGGTGACAAGGGGCCAGGGGACCCCGGGCCTTCCCTGAACTGCGGTGAACCAGGCCCCCACAGGGACAGACCCAGGGAGGGGTGACTGCTGGGGACACGGCAGGGTCTAGGACTCGGCTCCCAACCTCCTGGCACCCAGGACTCCTTCTGTAAAAGCCAAGTTTTCTGGGGTCGGCAGGTGGCGTAGTGGTGAAGGCACTGGACGCCCACATGGTGACTGCGGTTTGAAACTCAGCCAGGAGCCCGTGCACGCTTGCCCAAGATCCCGAGAGCAGAAGGGATTGCAGTGTGGCCACCCCCTCTGAGGGGTGATTTCTCACTTTGCCTCTGCCTCTGTCTCTGTCTCTGTCTCCAGTGAGCGCAGGTGCCCTATGACAAAAACCTGAACAAAACGAAACAAACACTGGGACCAGCAGTTGGCATAATGGCTGTGTCGCTGGACTCCCATGTAGTCGCGTGGTTCGAGTCCTGAACCCGGTGGCTTAAACTCATGCCGGGCGCCTGTACGTGTGTGCCCAAGCCCCCGAGAGGAGAGTGGAGGAGAAGGGATTGCTGTGTGGCCAGCCCCCCGGGGGGGGGTGATTTCCTGACTTCTGTCTCCTGTCTGTCTTTCTCTGTCTTTCTGACGAGCGCACATGTCCCATAGCAAAAAAACCTCTCCAAAAACAAAAACAAAAAACACACACCTAACAGGACTGTGCAGGTTTGTGAGTGAAGTGAGAGGAGGAGTTTCTTCTTGGGGTGCTGTGTCAGGAGCCCTGACAGGGTGGCATTGCAGATCCTGCTCTGGGATTGGCCCTAGGCTGCTAACGCAGCAACATCCCCCCTTGCCCGACACAGCCTGGCAAGGGTCATGCCTCTAGTCCCACTGGGGAAACAGAGGCATGGAGCCCGGGTGCCTGCCGCCCGACCTGCCCGGACTGTGAGCCGAGGAGGGCCTGACCTCATCGTAGACGCTCTCGATCTCGTTGAGCAAGCTCTTGGAGCGCAGGGCCTTGGTGTCGTTTTGTTTGAAGTTCACGGCCTGGTGGTCCAGGGACTTGAGGTACGCCTTCTCGTACTGCTCCCGCCAGATCTTGTTGAAGCCCTGCTGGGCCTCCCGCCACTCCTCCTCCTTGGCCTTCAGCCTATGGGGACAAGAGGGGTTTAGCACCAGGGACTGGCCAGGGACCCCTCCCCGAGTCAACCCTACAAGGAACGGGCCTGGCTTCCTCCCGGGCTCGACTGTGGACAGCAAAAACTCAGATCAAGGGGCCAGCAGGTGGCATGGTGGTTAAGGCACTAGATTCCCACATGGCTGACTGCGGTTTGAGTCCTGGACCTGGAGACTTGCTTTTGCATATTCCCTCTCTCTGTGTCTCTATGGCTAGTACATGAGCCCCAGAGCAAATTAAAAACAAAATAATAGGGGCCAGCAGGTGGCGTCCTGGTTGAGGGGCTGGACTCCAACGTGGTCAACCATGGTTCAAGTCCTGGACCTGGCGGCTTGCTCTCTCACTTTCTCTGTCTCTCTCTGGCCAAATTTAAAAGTATGTATGTGCACGTATGTGTGTAAATTTAAATAAATTTAAAACAAAAGAATTATTTTATTTAACTGTATTTATATTAATTTGATTAGAGAGGGAAGGGGGAAAGAGACAGAGAGAGAGAAAGTGAGAAAGCAATTTGCCAGGTCTGGAACTCAAACCATGGTAGGCCATGTGGGAGTCCAGCGCCCTTAACCACCACACCCAAATAAAAAAATTCTTAACAACTCAGACCCGGCCAGCTCCTGGGCCCTAGCTATGCTGACATGGGATGGATGGAGGATGGGGCGATACCCTGTGGAAGCCACGTGGCTGTTTTATGGCTTCGTGACCTCCTTCCCAGCCCCAGGCACACTCCCTGCAGCAGCTGGCTCGACCGTGAGCCCTGCAAGGACAGGGCTGTGCCTGCCCCTTTAACCTTCATGAACCAAAGGCTGAGTGCAGTCTCTGCCTGAGAGGGGCAGGGAATAGACCTGTCGCTACCACGGGAAGGTCTCCGAGATGCAATGCTACATAAGCAGCTTCATGAACAGGGTCCGCAGGGTGGCGTGCTGGTTGAGGTGCTGGACTCCCAAATGGGAGAACAAAGTTCGAGTTCTGGACCTGGTGGCTTTTTTTTTTTTTTTTTTTGGACGGTTTTTGTCATGGGGG